CCTTAGAATCTTCATTCAACAAAATGAAAAGAACTTACCATTGCTAAACTTTCAACTTTGCAGTTTGCAGACTGCTGGTGTAGAAAGTACTGGGTAAGAAACTGATTTATTGTTGGTGCAGCTAAGTCAAAAGCAAGGACTTTCAAAACTAGGTGCTCCATTCTCAGAACTTGTTTCTTGGTATAAGTGTCATCAGTAATGTATACAAATTCTGCTACTTCTGGCGGGTATATTTCTTCAAACTTTCTACAGTGGAAGAAATTTTAAGTAATCAGTCCATCTAAAGGAAAAGCAATTTGTTTATCCCCCTTGAAATCCCTTAAGCAAAATAAATGGGATGAACCCAAAACCTATACCCTGAACCAGTTGCCTGTTTTCACTGATACTTGGCCATTTCTAGCGGACACTGGGTAAATGCTAATTAGAAGACCCAAATATTTCTCCACTGCAGTCAAAAGAAATAAATGAGAGGTACAAGACTTCCCAAGATGGGAAAAATACCAGAGTTCAAATAACTGAAAATTCAGGTTATTTTCTCAGAAAAATAAATGCGTGATATTTTAGTTTTCACGCCTTAATGGGGAAAAGATAAGATTTTGCTTATATGCTAGAAAGTACTTTACAATGGAACGAACCACACTTTGTAATCCAGTCCCAGTGTATTAATAAAATGTCACCAGTCTCCAGGTTCACTCAAGAAGGTACCCCGAAATCCAGTAATGTCCTAAATTTTAAAAGTTTCATCCACACCACCCCTAAAATAGTTGCTGACTCTCTGCCTTGTGTAGTATATTAAAAATCGCACTTTAAAAACCACAATTTCTCCCCTACACAAAAAGTACTACTAACCACTTTTAATCCAACAAACCAAGTTGGACTTACGAGGCTAACAGCATAGCAGCGGTGCCCACAAGCTGAAGTTTTCCTCTCAACACAGACATCGATGAAAGAAACCTATCAATGTAGTTCACAGCCAAATGCAGGGTCTCATTCTGTAGTTTATATTCTTCTCCTACTTCAACTAACCAGTCCACAAGGATAGCCCTCATACTGTTAGTAATGTCTGGCTGTTTCTTCATGTAACCCACTTTAGGCTTACATTTAACCTGTTGAGAAAGTTACTTAGTATAGTGTTAAAATTGCAATTAGATTATTCTGCCATTAACAGACGCTACATGCTACAAACATAAGTATAGCATTAGAGTACTCCACAGGCAGTTAAAAACTTGAAAACATTATCCTCTCAATTTCACTTCAACAGAGTGAATAAAGTATGAAGTGGATTCAGAGAGCCTTTACCTCCATTTCCCTAAGGTATGTGTGAATGTCCTCGTGGTAGTCTGGTACTTCATTAACACTCACTGGCTTTTCATCTTCCAGTACAATTGACATGTCCATAGTATGTGGTGACTCTGGGAGAATTCAAAAGTACAATGAAGTTCACTTTCAATTTTCTGCTTAATAGCAAAGTTAAATTTAATAGTTAAACTGAATAGCTAAAAGTGATTGCCCTTGTAAAGAGGCCCATACTACCAAAGTATTTATTTTATCCAGCTAAAATCTTTTCATGACAAAGTACATAGAAGATTTCATTCTGATTTTAGTACCTCTGTTCACTTAGCTTTGGAATAATTTTAATTAAAAAGAAAAAATACTGATAGGCCATTAACAGGAAAATGAGTTTGAGGAGCAGGTATTATTTTAAAGTATCATTCATCTCCCATGACAGGAATACAGTTCTGTTAGGACAAAGCTAAAATCCAAGTTTTGAGATATCAAGGATTTGTCACAAGAGTTTGCAGAACCCCAAAGTCTGACATACTCAAAGCACAATCTAGGCAATAACTAGAAGCAGTGCTAACAAATGTGTTCAAAGAGAAAATCAGATTTGTTATATGTTCACACATATTAACACTACAATCAATGGGTGATTCTTTTTTGTAAATTTAAATTATTTTTAGAGGCAAAGAATATCACCCATTATTCTTACTTCAGGGTTTACTTTCAGGTTAAAATCTGTTGCAAATTTTAAATAAAAATACACAAAATTATTCTATTTCCAAAGGACTTCCCTGCTTCTCCCAGACCACCCCTCATCAATAAAGCTAAACTGAGAATGGATTTCATGAGCTGTCCAGTGACTCAATAGCCTGATGGCAAAGAAGCAGCATAAACTGTAGGCAGAGCCATTTGCAGCAGCTACTCTATATTACATGTGGTTAAATGCAAACATTCATGGTTCAACTACTAACTCACAGGACAATGTCCTCCTCTGGTATCAGAGGATTACTCAGACTGGTTTTACAGAAACAAAATTTTAAAGCTGTAAGAGATGTTGGCTGTCACATAGCTGCATCCTCAAATAGCACTTTCTGAAGTGGTAATGTACAAAATGAGTCTTAAGAATACAAGTAAATATATTCTCCCAACCAAGCATATATTTCCAGGGTCAGATTAAAGTGAATGAGATCTAATTCTGGGATGAAATTGATGTGATTAGCAGTGTACCAAAAGGACCAGATTAGGATCCTTTTGTAGGTCATTAGTCTCATATTAACTGTGAGGTCTGAGATAAGTCACACCCTTTCTAAACTTGATACATTAAACCTAACAATTTAGAAAGGATCCGGTAAAATAATGTCTTAAAAGACAGAATATAATTAATCCAATCTATTTAATAATTATGACTACATTGATTTGATATAGATACTGTAAACTTACCAAAACTACCATCCATTGGGTAATCAAGAGGTACCAGTGGTTTTCTTGGTCCAGGTAAAGTAATAGCTGAATTAAACGCCAAGACATCTTCACTTTCTGGTTTTTTAGATTCAGCTGGCCTCTTTTGAGTCTCTTCTGCTTCATCCACATGAATGGTAAATGGAGGCTGTTTACTGTTTGCTTTCCAGGGAGGAACAGTGACATGCTCATCATTTATAGGAAGATCCTTAAGAGGTGCAACCTAAAAAATAAATAACTGGCTTTGAGCCTATTAATGGTTTTGCTTTCATCCCCTTATCGGTCTCAGCCTCTGCGTTTACTCCCAAATGCATTATCAGGAAAATTAAACTTTCTGGGGCAAAATCCAGGCAAGGAAATTTGAGTAGTTGGAGAAATAAGGGATGTTCTAATTTGTCACAGGCATTCCTGGAAAGGTTTTAGAGTCATGCTAAGTGGAATTATGCAAAATTAATCAAGGCCACGAGATGGGTGGAGTGGTAGGCCGAAAGATGACATAATTTAGGAAAGAAATGGCAACAAAGTGGTTCACCTCTCTCGCCCCAGGGTGGAGCAACAGAGCAAATCCGGTAAGATGGCGGAATTGACCAAAAGCAAAGTATTCTTTATACCCTTTCCCAAAATAAGAGATAATGTCTTAACTATATGGGGAGGATGAAGGAGGTCCGGGCAGTGCCTGGGGCTTACAAGTCGAGAGAAAGGCGCGGAGGCGGGTAAAGACCACTCACGTTACAGGGCTTGCTTTGACCCCATTATCTATAGAAAAATACTCCCAACAGACAGCAAACAGGCAGCATAAATGCATAGTGCTGGCAGGGAGAGTAGTGGGAGAAACCAATGGGAGTAACGTGGCATCCCACACTCCAGAAAACCAGGGGTCAAGGGACTCTAAACCCTGGCCTCCCGCAAAAAGCCCAGCGAATACTTTCTAGCCACTCTGCCGACTAAATCCACGCAAAATTCCCGCTCGGCCCACCGTCGGACAGATATCGCTTATCTCTTTACCCGTCGCGTCTTAGGCCTCTGCTGTGGCGCTGCACCCCGCGAGTTACCAGCCTTCAATACCGCCAGCCCAGCCCGGGTCCGAGGCTGCTGGGCGGGCGCCGCCTTCTCGGGGTTGATGTTCTCCTGGTCCTCCTGGAGCGCCGCCTGCTGCAATGTTAGCAGCGCCGAGCCCGCCTCGCGGGCCGCAGGCCCGGGCGCGGAGCTGCCCAACATCACTGCTCCCAGAGGCGCGGCGGGATCAGCCTGCGGCGCCAAGCAGCGTGCACTTCGTTCCGCCGACCCCGCCGAGGAACACTCCAGCCGTACCCGTCAGCCACAGCCCGGGCCAGCCTGCCCGCCTGCTTGGGATCGCGTAGGGCCGAGGAGGTTCCAAAAGGCGGAGGCAGGCACTGCGGGCGTGGAGAGTCAAGGACGCCCCCGAAATGAAGCGAGCAGCCCGCCGGAGCGGCGGCTGTTCATGCAGTTCAAGTATCCCGCGACTATTGAAATGGACCAATGAAAAGGGCCGAGACCCGTGACGTCACTCGGGGCGACGCGGTCGCAGGCGAGTGAAGGCGGCTGCGAAGGCAACCGAGCAGGGGCGGAGCGCGGCGAAGAAAGGAGGAAGTCCGCCTGCGCCGGGCAGAGAGGCGGGGCCAAAGTTTACGATAACTTTATCACAGGCAGTAGGCGGTTTCTATCTCAGGGCAAAGGCTGTCTCTAGAATAAACTAAATTAAACTTTAGCATTTATTAGTGGGCTGCCCAGGCCTTCAATCCTAGGACCTCCAATTAGTTTGACTAGTTTCCTAAGGTCTAAAATCTGATCCGGCCATTTACTGGCCTGGTGGTCTTGTTCAAATTATTCAATGTCTCCAATTCTCGGTTTTCTTATGTTAATTAGGAGTAATAACATCTACGCATTACACAGTTGTCGTTAGTATTAAATACCGTGCGTAAATCATTTAACTCGCTGCTCGAGTAACTGATACTCAAGTGGGAGACTATAATGTCATCATACCATTTAGGTGTTTCCTCACAGTCTTATGCTTTTTTATTTTTCCTAATGAAGATGCAATTAATTTAAGGAGCCACCTTGAACTACTGTTGATATGTATAACCGATAGTAAGATACTACAAGAAATTGAACTTTTTTCCCCAAGCTGTGGCAGCCAACAAAAAAGCACCAAGTAAAATTCTAGTGACCTGGATATAATTGTGTTCAATTTGTTTAAATATAGTAAAAACAATATGACTTATTAAAATAAAATTCTTAGCAATATGTGCCTTTAACAAATTTTCACATTTAATGTACAAGGTTTGCACATAACTAACAAAATGGTATATAATTAAGCAGCATTCTTGTTTTCCAACAGATTCATGACTGTGCCCTTCTTGAAAACATAAATTGCTTATTTCCTATTAAAATCCTTATGTTATTTTTAAAACCTTTAAATACAATCACCTGAATATGAATGAATGTGAATTAAGATTAATGAACAAAAATTCTGTAGCCTTAATGGCTTATTTCCCTCCGTATACGATAAAAAGGAAATTAGTGGATACTAGTTTAGGAAAACCTAAGAAGCTAGCATTATTTCTGCACTGTATACATTTAGCACACTTGTATAGCCCTATTGGTTACAGCACATCAAGTTAAGATCCCCTCAAACTGCAAATTCTGATTTCTCTGGCCACAATTTATAGCACTAAGCCAACTGAAGTATTACACAAACGGACCGTGGGTTACAAAACATTACCAGGCAAGAGTGAAATCAGCTGCAAATCAACCTCAATTCCTAGAAGAAATAATTTATAGGTTATTTCTCCTGGTTGACAACATACATAGTGACCAGAACACAATCCAGGCATCAGGACTTGGGTCCCACCTTTACAAAATAATACCATATCCTCTCAAACACTCAACCCACTGAGAATCAGTTCTCTTATATGATTTGACAAAATAGTCATAAATATGTGTTGTGAAGATCAAATGAGGTAACATTTGTAAACACATTTTGAAAACTGTAAAGCAGTTTATACATATGCATGTTAGCTTGTTAAATATTTGAATATATTTTTATTTTCTAAATAGTATTAGATCTAAAAGTTAAAACATCCACTTGAAAAAATTCATTAAAATTCCTTATAATCACTCCACTTTTGTTTTAAAAATAAACATTCTCTTTATCTTTAAAAAGTTCTACTTGTCAAAAAAAAGCATTACTAAAAAAAATTGAATCTCACATATTTTAGATGATATTAAAAAGCATATGAAATAAAAGAATGTAAAGATAGTCTGTAATTCTGTTTTAACATTTCTCATTTAAACAGACAACTTCTTTGGAACTTTACCTCGTTTATATTTCATGCAGCATCGAAGAAAGCAATCAATGCATTTTGGTCATAACTGTCCAGAATCTCCAGTAAAAGAGGCACTTTTGTTTTCACATTGGTGCCTTTGAACTTGAACTTATCTATGAAAAGATCAGTGATCATGCCTATAAAGAAAAAATATTAATTTCCTGTCATTGATTAGTTTTATTAATGACACATTATTTAATGAAAGTGACTGCTTGAAAATCTATTTCTAAGGACCTATAATTCCATTATTTAACATACACAAGCCTAAAAGGATTGATGCATTAAAAATATTTATTTTAGGGGATTTTAAGGCAAGTCTCAAAATATAAGTCATTTGGCCAATAATCCTCTTAACAATTGGTTACAAGCTATTAATTCAGACAATCAACTCCTGGCCAGTTTTGAACTGCTATTGGTATATATAAAATCACAACAAGCTGACCATTTTGAT